CGTGACCGTTTAGATTAACTCGTTCAGATACGTTGCAACATCTGTTGGAATTCTATGGCCAAGTATGTGAAAGTATGATACAGTGATTTGCGAAAGCAAATGGAAGACCTGTTAAGTCACTTTCAATTCATTCGCGTGGATCACGCAGACACGTGTATCCGTAGACACATATCTGTTGATTCTGCGAGAATCGTCAATTTCGAATGAATTCATACTCTTCGTGCTATATTCGATGCATATATCAAACAAAATTGTGTCAGTTTCAATCCTTTTACATAGATCCGATTCATGGACGTGTACACGTCTATTATAAATATAATATCGTCATTAGTTTCCAGTTTTATACTCGACAAAATATCAAAAACAGCAAAATTATATGTTCATCTAGTTTCGGCTCATTCGTGTGGGCCCAATTCAATATACAGTGTTGGACAGAAGAAACCTCAATATTGGTATCTGACACTTTTTTTATCGAGTCTGGTAACAGTCATCTAGCTTGCTGATATAATATATCACATCCATTCAGGAGCTGTTGCAACATCATCTCGCGTTCGTTTCTCTCGTTAAAATATTTCACAAAGATTACGTCCGATCTGATATCATTGGCCTTTTAAACGTTCTCCTAAGACGCAGCCTCGATCAGTTTACACGAATTCAGCAGCCGCTCGACTTTCTCGAGTCTCTAGGCAGTTGGCATTGCAGTTTCCGGTGCAGGAGGCGACGCTGTATTCGCATTGAGCGTCGCTGCGTCTCAAGGCCGGACCGTCCGAGAGCTAAGGACGACGCGACGTTAAGTCCCCCTCCTCCGGCCCCGAGCGTCCTCACCGCTCGCCAAACTCTCGTCCTCGCTCGTACACTCGTATGCATCTTCGTGATCCCTCCTTTCTCGTCTTCTCTCTCTCTCTCTCTCTCTCTTTCTTTCTCTCCTCCCTCCACTCTTCCCCTTATCTCTTCCCCCTCTGTCTCGTTCCAGCTCGTTCGCCCTCTTTTTCTCGCGCGAATCTTCTTCTCGCTTGAGGTTTCTCTCTTATTCTCGTTTTCGTTCTCGTTCGCGCTCGCAAGACTGGTAGAACCGCGGATCTCGAACGAAACTGCTCCACTGCGCTCGCAACTCTCTCGTCTCCGCGTCTCTCGGATGCATTATAAAACTGGACGGGTGCGTTCTCTTGCCGCGAGCAACGATTTACCTGGTTCTACTTAGCCTCTGCTCAGCGAAAGAATGACGACGATGACGATGAAAAGAGGGTTTTGAATGTTGTTGTTTGGACGTTCGTAAATGAAAATAGGTAGACGAGAGAGTTGCGCAGTCCGATGATCTTGGCTGTTGGTATATGTGGATTTTTGGATTGTTCCGGGGATCCCGACTATTGGGAAGTTAGCAAGGCTCGACAAAGACAAAGGTGAAAGCTTTCTAAAGTTCTAAGGCTGTTTGAAGCTTGATGTGGATTCTGCAGGAATATTCGAGATTGTTTTGACATTGAACGTCACTGAGGATGTGGAAGAGGGATGAAAGAAAATTTTGACACACCACATCTTTTGATCTTCTGTAAGCTAAATCGCTTCTTTGGTATCTTATTAAAAAAGATCCGAATAGGAGGAGGAATGTTATTCGAGGCCTATTCCACATCGACCGGTTTACTCATTTTACACAATTAGATCGCTATTCAATCCTTCTGAAGGATATCACCGTGCAAAGACTTGGTACCCTGCGGTTATTCAGCTCTCGATCACGCGAGTCACGCGACTTTCCCGTAATTAACTCACAGCTGACCCTACCCTAAACCTTGCGTTACCAACCACCGTAACAGTCGATAGTTACGACTAAGAATAAAACGGAAAGCAAAGAAGAATCGAGAGGATGTTCGTGCGAATTCGTACCTTGGACTAGTAACTCCCGTAGAACATCGTCCCGGAATTTGAATTTCGCGGATAATCAAGCGAACGGTCCAATTACTCGAACTGCTGTCCCCCATAAACGGATACTCGTAGGCAAACGTACGTACGCGCGACGTAGCATAGAAAGAACAGGCCTAGGGAACTGTGTCGACCTGTCTGACAGGAAACATAGAACCGCGTGGTGACACTGGTGCTCGCGCGAGCACACGTCACGCTCTAAGGTTATTGTTCACACGCGGAGAAAGAGAGAAAGAGAGAGAGAGAGAGAGAGTACGACAAGCGTTGCATAAAACTGTTCTCCATCTTCTGCTCGCTTCAGCCTCGCCGCGCTCGCTCACACACCAACACCCGGTTTCACCTATCCTCTCGCCTTACGTTCTCTCCCCTATTCTCGTCTACGCTCTTAACCAAGGTTACCCACCGCCTCTTCCTCCACCTCGTCGTCGTCCTGCTCACGCTCGCACGGGGTGTACAGTCTGTTTAAGAAACGGCCGGTGGAATGCACTCACTCTCGCGGGCCGCGACAACTGGAAATCGGTGCACTTGCTGCACGGCTTCGCGAAATCGTCACGTCGAACTTGGCGAATTTACGAGCGAGGGGGACTCGGCAGCGGGACAGCCTCTCCGGCTACCGGGGAATAATTCAACAGACAGTGGCGCCATTGACCGATCGACAGTCGTTTGAACGGTTACAGTTTAGGAATCAAATATGATATTTCACACGTGCGTCTCGGTTGTTAATTACGGAAAGAAAACTTTGTTTTTGTCTCTCTTTCTCTTCTGATTGGGCACTTTACAAGAAGCGCAGAGTTGACTGAAATGATTGTCCGATGCACTGTCTGTTTCCACTGCAGCGTCTTGTATCACTGACTTGCCTGATCGATGAATTAATTTTTCTTAGAAAAGATATTTTTCAAGTTGAGGGAATATATTTGAAGTTTCACACAGTAAGTAGAATCGACCATTGACTGTCTGACGTTTAGTCTGTTTCTACTAGCCTGCGGAATTATGTAACTGAAAGATCTGTAGCTTGAAGATCACAATTAAATTTAAAGAAAAACGTTCATAATTTTAATATTGAACCTAAAATTAATCTATTATTGTACACAATATTTATCTGATCATAACAATCAGGTACCATTTGACTTCTAAATAAACTCCAGCTCAGGCAACCTGAAATCGTTTTATCAGTGCGAATAATTGGCTCCTGACGAACGCAGATAACGAATCCTGCTCGTTAGGATCGCCCGAAGGTGGGGATGATAAAAAAAAGTGTTGTCAGAAGTGGGATTCGAACCCACGCCCACAGAAGTGGACTGCGACCTGAACGCAGCGCCTTAGACCGCTCGGCCATCCTGACGTGTTTCATCGGCTGAAGTTTAAAGAGGAGAAATTGAGAATCCTGTCTACCCTATGCCTGAGAAACTGGTCTGCCCGTACTAAATTTATCCGGCAGCTAGGCGAAAATAGCTCCGTAAGAAGCGGCCGTGGAAACTTTCAACCAATGCACCAGCAAACGGGTTTCTTTCTTCTTTGGTCCTTTTTGCCTGAACCATTATTCCATCTCTGGCGAACGTGCTCGTGCCAGAGTGTCGTGTCCTGGCGTTTGTTGCCGTTTCGAATAGCGAGATCTTTTCTGATATTCGAAGGTTTTAAAACCCAAGTGTTCCGAAATTCCAAAGGTTCAAAGTTCCGGAACTTCGGAAGTCCGAGTTTCCCAAAGCTTCCAATGCTTCGCAGCACCGCTATTCCGAAGTTTCAAGATTCCGAAGATTCGAAGGTTTTGAAACCCCCGGAAAGTCTAGTTGAAAATTCTGGACGAGATCCAATAACGGAACAGCGACTCTAGAAAAGTCGATGGACTAGCAATGATAGTCAATTAGCAACCAAGTGGTATATTCTCAGGGTAGATGTTCATCTCTCTATTTTCCACCGCGGACATCCCCGATGGAACGGATCCCCCGAGCGTCGTGCCCTCCCAAAAATCCCGAAATAAATAACGGGGCGCGAAGTTTTGCCCAGGTCTCTGCTGGCACACATACTACACCATAAGCGGCTGATTCCGCTGGCTTCTCCCCTATGCCACGCTCTGCGCGTAACCTTGAGAGTCGTTCAGCTCGACGGCCATCTTGCTGCGATGCACTTTTGTTTTTTGCCTGTCCAAGACTCACCAGTCTCTCCCTCTCCCCCGTCCCGTCGTTTCCTCTCATCCTACTTCAGCCAAAAGAAACCACGGTGTTCCATCTCTCTGTCCGGCTGCATCAGCCGCTGGCTCGCCATTCTTTCTGCATCACGCTTCTCTGCATCCCCACTCTCTTGGCCTCTCCTTTTCCAGCAGCAGCGTGCTCCAAGCATCGGCGCTGGTGTTCTCCATCCGTTCGTCCTACATGCCTCCTACCACAGATTACCAGCCCAGAGAGAGAGAGAGAGAGAGGGAGAGAGAGAGAGAGAATGCAGGCAACCTTCCACGCAGCTTCTCTCCTCTCTTCCACTCGTTTGTGTCTCCTCTGCTCTCGACAGAGCACGAAAACTGGCCACCTCGAAATTTCACCTCGACTACTTACTTACTTACTTACTTACTTACTTACTTACTTACTTGCGTCCACGTACTTGGTGTTTCGCGCGGTTCGTTTTATGGGAATTGTTATTTAGATGGTTGGACGAACGAAAAAGAGAGAGAGAGAGAAAGGGAATGGTTTTTATTCGGTCAGAGAGGCCAACTGCTCCAGTGGCCCAATTTATACCAAGGGAGTGCGAAGGATGCTGGCATAGTGGATCAGTGGGTGCCACCTGGAGCAGCCATTCGAATATTTGCCTCTGCCATGTAGATTTCTTCGAGGAGGAGAGGTTGTTTTGGTGAAAGGAGCCTGTTTCGCTGGGGTTCGAGGACCGATGAGATAATACGCGCGAGGGATTTTGGTCAGGCTTTGAACTCTTCAGTTTTAGAAATCTGGCCTGTTGGCTCGGTCTGTTGAAGATTGAAGATTCTCGGAGGTGTTTTACGATTCTAAAAAGTTTAATTCAAGATATATTCGAAATATACTGGGTATAACTTCGAGAGCAATAAGATTAGGATTATGGGATGTGTAGTCCTAATAGTCTCATGTTCTCTAGAAATAACTTTCTTTTATCTCAAAGCTCTCATTGTTAATTCTCGCGCGAATAAAAATCTGTTGGTATTATTAATTGGAATTTTACATTTCGAATTGCAGAAATATCCTCCCGTTATTCACTGAAAACCAGAAACTTTCAATTCCTTGATAATAGCCTAACAAGATATTATAAGCTATAAACTACCTGCTGTAATTTATAAACTGAAGCATACGTTTCATTAATTCAATAGCACCCTGAAGGGCTTGCATTGGGGATTTTGCTGAACAAGTGGAACTTATCTGAATGGCAGGTGTGGAAAGAAGGATCCGTTTGGCTTTAGAAAACGCGCAGCAGCGATATTCAGTAGCCTCGCTCGAGCCATTGAGTCACTCGCTATAAATTAATAAAGGCTCCGGTTGTTTTGACGGTGAAACGCAATGGCTATTGACCAGCAAAGCAATGAACTCGGCCGCCGACGGTGTGTCGCACAATTTCTGAAACCTTATCGTCGCTTCTTCTTCGCCAGTGTTTTTTCCATCGTGCCTATAGACATCGTCGACACTTTTCAAGCCAACTAAGCATCGAACTCGATACAAAATACGCCACGGCTCCACCACGAGTGACGGACTCTTTGTGCTCCGCGTGTGAATAGTCGGAGCCACATTGTTTCCTGAAAAGTTTGTTTCGAAGCTGTCACAGGTCGTATTTATATTGTTTTCTTTTTTTTTTTTTTCTTTTTTTTACTTTTCCAAGATATAATTAATATTAATACCTTCTGTCGGCAAGCTATTGATCGATGAAAATGCAGAGGCAATATCTCGCAATGTACGCGAAATTATTTTACAGTTGGTTTGGAGAAAGATTCTTTTCTTAGTTAGAATCAAGATCTTCAGCTGCGCATTCAAGGTAGCAAGTTTCCAAATTAAAGAATTTATTTGGATAATACGATTTACAAATTTTACTTACAATTACCGTCTTTCTTCATTTATTGTCCTATTTTTCGGATGAGTCGTCCATTATGGCGCCGTGTGTCTCGATGCAGCAAATTTCCAGATTAAAAATTCTCGGGAATTTGACTCGCGCGTGTCTCGTACGTATAACTAACGAGTTTTTTCGCCCATTTTTATCTCATTTTTGTCCACTGCGCGTCGTTGCGTATCTCCGAGCCACCGAATTTCTGCGCGCGCGACACCACGGCTGATAGGGCAGTGGCTCGGCAGTGGCGCCACTGTCGAGGACGGCGGCCGAGCTACGAAACAGTCGGCCGGCGCATAAGCGGCGTCGGGCGCCGCAGTCGCGCGCTTGCACTCTCAGCGGTGAGCGGAGTTTGTAACGTGCGTTTAATAGCTGGGAAACGTCTTCTGGTCTGTTTTGTTTGGCCGTGTTTCGCGTACATACGGTCGCCCGGTGTATATAATATTAATCCCCTCCCGCGTGTACCTCGTGTCAGTTTTTGTGTGTCTCGGAGCAACTTGGCGGAAGAGAACCAGGACAAAACGAAAGAAGAAGCTTTTACGTACAGGCGATATAATATCATCCAGCTAGAGAGAAGTGTGGCACACGGCGAGACACGAACCAACGTCGCGCTCCCCTTTCACCGATACATCGAAAACCCAACAACCACGCTCACGCACAAACACAGGAAAGTGAAACGACGACGAGAGTAATCGTAGAAAAGGGAAAAAGAGAAAAACGAGAGAAAAAAAAAAAGAAAAGGAAAGAAAAAAGGAGGAAGAAAGTTAGACGAGGTGGTGCATCGAAGGGGAACACTCCCTTAATAGGCAGACGAAAACGACGCGCGGCGGACGTGTGTGGTGTGGTTTTTCACGGGGCGAGGCACTCAGAGTCATCCCGGTGCTCAGTTCGTCTATTTTTTTTTTTTTTTTTTATTATTTTTTTTCCTTATTGTCCTCTAGGATCTCGCGCGTTCCTCTGTTTTCCTTTCTCCGAATCTCGTGGTGTATTTTGACAGACCGGATCCGGCGGATCAGTGACGTGTGATACACGTGTATTTTGTAATAACACAGTGCAAGTGTTTCTTGATTTGGCGCCCGTGCTCCAGGGGATCGTGTCGCCCGCTGGCCACCGTCGGTTCATCGTGTACACCTCGTTATGTGAGTAATTATCATTTTATCGAACGATGTTATTTTTATCGGTACGATATTACGGACTTAGGAAGCAGAGGATGGAGGATTTTCTTCGGGATAGTTTCGATCTGTCGTGAATATAAGTTCACACCTATTGCTGGAGTTTTATGTGTAATTATCGTTTGTTGAATGTTGTGGTTAGGTGGAATTCGATGATTTTGAAGCGCCTTTCGATATCGAGACGAAACAGTTTTCGTATTTGTATATTTCGTATTGTTAATGTATTTAATTAACGATGTACGATATTACGAATGAAATATTTACTGAATCAAGAACATTATCGTTATTTTTACCTTGAAATTGCAGCATGCTCCAAATTTTTGGGCGGCAGTGTACATGGACAAAGAGAAAGTATCTCATTTACGCATTTTCGTTCCTTTCTTTTTCGGAGTATCTTATTACTCGCAGCTCGATAGTGTGAGTTAATGCTCTTATCGCGTATACATCACGCTTTATGAGTAATCATCGTGTACACAGAAACACGATTTTATTTATGTATGTTTCTCTTTTGCTTTGCATTACTTTATTGCCGAAGTTCGATGTACGAGTAGATTCAGCGTGTTACCAGCCAGACTCGGTTCATCGTGTACGTCCCGCCACGGTTATAGGAATAATTATTATACACGTACAAAGACGACTTTGTTCAAGTAACTTATAGGCCTCTCGCACATTATTATTTTATTACCTTATCCCTTCGATGCTACTACGAAAATGAAATGTAGAACGGTGGAAGAACGTTTCACTGGGAACGAAGGGTACGTGCTGTGGTTTCAGGCGTTCGTAGTTCAAACGAATAAATTTTCATTCGAAGACCCGGCTTGGAAATTCAACGCGTTCTCACATTTTCTTTTCTAAAGGCCTAAAACGTACGTGCTTAACAACGTACTCTGTCGCGCACAGAGTCGTAATCACGATTTTCTTCTTCCATTTTGGGTGGCCATTTCGCCGCTATCGGGACAAAATATATGCGCGAGACGGTTTAAATAATGACGCCGTGTATAGATGGCTGTTTATGAGGCGCTGTACGGTTTTGTTTACGTCTGTCGCGGGGCAAAGTGAGGTAGGTTCGTGAACGAATGTGAGCGCGAGGTCAGATCGGGGACCGGCAGTGGGTCGGCAGTGTGTTGGTGTGTGCGCTCTCTTTCTCTCTCTCTTTCTCTTTCTCTTTCTCTTTCTCTCTCTCTCTCTCTCTCGTCACGTTCAATTTATGCGCCGGGATAAACTTTTCTTTACTCCGTTCCAGCCCATGGATACCGTTCTTTCATTAATAATTCCATCTGATATTTATCATTTGTAGCCTGACGTACGGATGAATTGAAAATTAATCGATTCTCCTGATTTTGTTTTCTGCTCTTTCGCTGGCAAATTTTTAAGGCATGGAATTCGATTGTGCAGTGTCTATTATATATATATATATTCTTTTTGTAAATTTACACTTTTCTCCTTTTCATCAGAGTCTTTGCTGTTAGTTTTCGACAATAAAGATTAGCAGTTGCGAAACAACAGCAAAGAATCTTATTAATGTGATTTTCACTTCTCGATAGGTCTCGTAATATTGTTTCGTTTCGACTTTTAATTAATATATAATCAAATTTTGAAGTTCTATTAGAAACCTAACCTAACCTAAACCACTACGCGGTTGGATAGGTTTCTACTAGCAGTCTGTTGATTTTTATGCATCTGAGACTGCAAAAATTCGCAGATCAAACAACTAAAATTACACACGACCCTCCAGTAAGTACAGTTAGTAACACCGATCGTTGTAGTAACCGATAAATAAAATAAAAATGGCATAATATTTACAACAATTTATAAAAATGCTATCGTATGCATAAATAAGCTACGAACGTTCTTATTCTTTTTAACAAAATGGAACAAGAAAAAGGAGATAACGAGATCAATGACGAGACGAGGTCGTTTTTTAAATTTTCTTTTCTACATTATGCGAAATGATCGCTGCATACGTTACGTAAAAATCGTCGTTGGAAATACGTGGCCGGTGAATGAAACGAAGGTGGACGATCGGCCAGAAACGAGTCGGATCCCGATTCACTTTCGATTCCTCCCGTAAATAGCGAGGGACGCGTGTACCGACGACAAATATCGGCCGAGCGTATCGCGAGCCCATCTCACACGAAAATAGAATAGCTTCTAAAAATATCGCAACCCTATCTGTGCGACGAATAGTGGACAAGTGCGAGCCTCCGCGATGTAAACTGTGAGTACATATGTACGTCCACGGATAGAGAAAGCGAGTTCTTTTCGCGCGCGTTCATTCGCGATGTCACCCACCGAGGCTGACGGTCACGCGTTTTATTATTTTCGTGTTATCATGCCACGATTTTTTGCCAGTGGTCACTGGCCAGTCGATCTCGTGTAAACAAATGTATTAGGTGGACACAGCTCTACACTCTCGATTATACGTCGTTCTGCGGAACAAAGACCGCTTTCAACAGGCTTAGAATAATTATAATAGTTCTTGGAATTTTTGTCGACAGGAATTTTTAATATTGAGAAATTTCTAGTCCGTAGAAGTGTCGGTTAGAAACGTTTGAAACTTGTAGAATTCTACGATTTTTCACTTGGAATTGTTTTCGATATTGAATCTTTGAAGTTTCCTTTTGAATGCTCGAAGTTTTCAGAGTTGATTTCCGTATGAAAAATTCTCGCGCTTCCAAAATGTCAAGCTCTCGGGTTTTCAGAATTTTGGAATTTCTAGATTTCTGTACGTAACAAGTATACAAAAACATCCACGCAACTTAATTGTACGAAATTCTGTCTTTGCTAATCTTCCAAACGGATCCAGGTTTCCCCTCTGTCGTAAATTTTTAATGAGAGTAATGATTCAGTTGAGAAGGAGAGAGAAAGAAACAGAAACACGACACGAGTTTTCTGCGTAGAAATGTCCATGCAACGAGTCCGTTCCTATTACAAATTTAAATTTAACGACTGGCCGCCGCCGCCGCTTGGAAATTTAAATCTACAGATATCGTAACTGATTGAAGCGAATCGGAGAGCAAACTCTCGGGATTGGGAACGCTGATCCGATGATCCTTGTCGAACGAATTTTAAAACGAAATATTCCACGATAAACACATTTGAAACAATGTCCTTTTTTCTTTCTTTCTTTTTTTTTATTATTGATCTTTCATTTCCCAATTCAATCTGTTGCAACTTGGAAAGCCAATCGTTCGATCGGAAGTTGATTTCTTTCTTATCGAATATTGAACGATAAATAATTTCAATCCTCTCAACATTCTATTAGAGAAAATATTTAAATAGTCGAGAACAATGGACACGAGTCCAGTGGACAGAGTCGTGCGTGGGTTCACATTTGAATTTCAAAGCGATTCGATGGAGTCTCGTGAACATCTTTGATTGTGAGACACGTGCTGTCGTCATTCGACGATGTTCTACTTTTTCTGAAAACGTTCATATCCCATGAGCATTGATAGCTCGCTCGAAAAGGAAGTCCTCGACGCACGATCCCCTCGAATCGAAATGGTAAATTTTCTGCGAAACTCTCCGTTCCATTTTCGATTGCAACGTTTTGTCGACGAATCTTCCCTGTTGCGCAAAAAACCTGAATAATTCCTCCAGTTGTTTCACGCGCGATGACGAAATTTCGCCTACGTTTCGGAATTGACATTTGTCTCGGCTATTTCGATTTCATTTTGAAATGGGAATATCAGCCTCGCGAACTCGTTGCCGAAATTTCAAGGATAATTTCGGCGGGAAGAATGGTTATTGGAAGACCACGAGACTGACTCGATTAATTTCGTTGCGAGAGGTCGGGTTTTGGAGAGTTTTCTAGGTTAATCTTCGTGTTTTGCCGCGGAATCGCAAAGCAGTTTTGCTAGATTGCAGTTGAACTAGTTACCAGCCAAATTTACTGCACAGATCTATTAAAATGTAAATTTTCATATCAAGAGATCAAATTTTCAGCGGATAATTTTCGAATCCTTAAAAATCCTTCTTGTACCTTGGATCTTTAAAATTTAAATTTAAGAATTTAAGAATTTTGAATCTTTAACTGTTAAAACATTGAAAGTTTTTAACTTTTAAAATCCGAGGCTCGAAGCTCTCGAGCCATTTTTCAGAATTCAAATATTTTAAGCTTGTTACCCCTAAGATTAAGAATCTTTAATCTTTGAAATTTCAGAAAAGTTTTACAATCTTTGAAATGTATCCGTCAATCAGGCTTTTACGGTGAAACTTCTCGTATCAAAAAATTTGTTCTTCTCGATCATGGCGTCGACGTGACGCCGTAGAAAGTGAAGGAAAAGAAGGAAAGAAAAAGACTGTTTGCATTGCACTCGTGGGGTCGTCTGTTAATCTCGAATTTTTTCCCGACGATATATATATATTTCTTTTTCGAATGGCTTGGAGTGTTCCTCGAGCTGCTTTATCCGATGTTACATCGATAGCTGGTACGATAAGGCGACAGGGAGCTCACGGCTTTCCTCCGGAGACTGATAAGAGCCGTACATTATCACGGTGCAGATCCACGGCCTCCAACGTCGTCGCATCGCGAGAATAAAGCTTCTTCTGCGCCTATCGGGTGTTTATGCATTTACGAGGAATTTAAATACGTGAATTTCTTAGAAACAGTTTATATAATGAGATTACAATTCGTCAATTTTCAACTTTCTAATCTTACAGTTTCACAATTTTTATCCTACCTTAGTGCACAGAGTGTGCGTAATGTTGAAAAATACGGGAAATTTTGGAAACGAAGGACCAATTACAACATTTAGAGGATCAAGCAAATTTCTCTCTAAGTTTTATTTCATATTTATATTTAGAACGAATATGAGTTTGCATAAATACGTGTAATTTATTCGTACACGTTGCAGCTGTTTATTTTTAACTGGATGCAATTTAATTAAGCCATCAATAAAAATAGACGTAATTTAACATTAAAGCTATCGGCAACTTGTGTCGGAAAATTTAAGATGTAAAATGATTATCACTGTGTCGTAAAGCTGTATCGTATCGGCATAAGCACGAATTTCTCTGATTGGATGCGTTTTAAAATTTAATCGATATTTAAACTTGACGTTTAATACCGGAGAGTAAAAGAATAATATAGAAAATTGTACAAAACTATTGACGATTAACAATTTTTCTATCCAACCTTGCTAATTTATAATGTAATCAATATTTGAAGACAAAGTATCGTACGAGATGATAATAATAATCTTAAAACATAGACTGCCGCAGTGATTTTTAAAATTAGGAACGATTGAAACGACACAAATTTCAATCGTTCGATTAAAAGAATTCTCATGTGTGACATTGTCACGTAAAAAGTTCTGAAACTATAATAAACATTTTGCAGAGGTTAAATTAATAAAATGACAGTGTATTTCAGTATGTACATATATATTTCAATCTGATGTGACTCCGACGGCAAAATATATAAAATTCGAAAAAAGCAGGACGTACGGGAATAAACAATAAAAAAATTGCCCAAGTAAACCGTGTACGTATGCTCGCGAGGAAGAGGTTTAAGGGACAAAAAAAAAAAAAAAAAAAAAAAAAAAACGATGATAAACGCCGGGTCGCTGTTTTCAACTGTATAGATGACGAGTTTTCTGTTTCTTTAGGTGGCACTAACACACGTGTGTGCGCGTGCGCGTACACGCGGCGCGTAGTTACGTAAGCACGGACGCCGACTTGAAAAAGAGCCTTTAGCGTTCCGATTTCTACACCGTGACCGCGTTGCAACTCTGCTTATTTTCCTCGCGGCTTCTTTTCTTTCGTCTTCGCTTTGAAATTTAGAATGACCCCTTTGTCACGGCCAGACGATGTTGTCGATCGTCTCTCTCTCTCTCTCTCTCTCTCTCTCTATCTCTCCGCCCGTCTCCTCGCGTCTTCAAGTCCAAAGAATGGTTTTTTCGGTTGGAAGTTAAACCGAAAGACTTTGAAAACTGTCCATTCTTCTCGTTCTCTTTTTATCTCGGCTGTATTTTGTTTTCTTTCCTTTTTGTTTATTTTCGGCGGTTGTTTTTGCGGAACAATCGGTGATTTCAGAGAATTGCGTGAATTTTGTTTCTCCGAGCGGGAGAAGTGAGATTTTTTTAAATTTCTGGGAATTTTAAAATTCTAGGAATTAATTTAAGAATCTCTCTCTCTCTCGCTTTTTCTAGGAATTAATTTAACAATCACAGGGATTTGGGATTTTATAGGATTAATCTGGAGATAGTCTCATATTAATCTAGGGATATTAACGAGTCTAAGTCTAGGAATTATTTGTTAAATAAAATGTTTATTCTGTGAGTTTTGTTTTCTTTATAAGAAATGTGAACATGAGAACGGCTTAACTTTCTAGAAATTTGAATTAATTTTATTTTCTAGGCCTTCGTACGATTTGAGTGGAATTATTTTTTTATAAATCCGAAGAACAGCTTTATATTTGAGTTTTACGCGAACTTAATCTTTTTCTTCCGGAATTATTTATTTTTTCATTGCTTCGTGAATTAATTATTAATAATAAAATGCGTAATAACTGCGAAAGGAATTTTTCCAATATAATTGACGATAAACTTTTATTAGATGCTAATTTAAGCTATTCGATGTTTTATATTCTTCTTTCCTGCGATGTGTTCAACGTGTTTCTAAGTCGTTCGTGTGTCTCAGAACGTTTATAGCGTTCGTAATCGCGGTTCGTCCGAGGCCAAGGTGTTCGATCACCTAAAAAACTTTGTTTCTCTTTCGACGATCACCTCAGAGGCCTTTGTCCGCTTTCCAACTGAAGTTTGCCTCACGTGTTAAACCCTCGAGGTCGTGTCACTTTTCGACTAATAATAATAATATCTGCACAGATTATTTTAGGAAATCATGAAACAATTGTTAATATTGACAAATGTTTCATTCTCTTTTTTTTTTTTTAATTAATAAGCATTATCTGAGATTGCAAAATTTTTCATCGTGTCGCTCGCGATTGAATTAATTTTAGGCCAACTTGATCTTCGGGCGTATTCAGATTTTCTCAAGAATCCGAAATATCTACGCGGTTCATTGCTTTTCGAAACTTGGCTCTCCGATAAATCAATTCGAATCATAATAATCTTCAACAGTTCGAAAACAACCGCTCTCATTCATCTCATTCGCTCGAATTATCAGATTTATTCCTGGCCGTGCGAGCGCGCAAAGAAAATATTTAATCGGCGATTGTTTGCTTTCAATATAATAGACCGAAAGTGGGGAGGGGGGAAAAAAATTGTACAATCGGGAATCAGATATTTGACGAAAAGAATTGTGGCGCTAGATAGGCGCATGCGCGGGCGTCTGCGCGCGAATGATGCATACAACGCATCGCTAGCGATAGGATCAAGTTCAATACGTATCTATAAATTGGTATTAAATCCAGTACCCGAGATTTAGTTCATAGGATTCCAATACACTTCTTACGCTCGTTCATTGGCGGTCGGAGAATTTTAAGATTAAGAATTTAGGGAATTTAGAAAATACATGTGTGTATATATATATATATATATATATATAGGGAATTTCTGATAAAGTAGCAGTACCATTTGGCAGTACATTTTTTTATTTCCTAAAATTCAGATCTGTTCAGGTCTGAATCTACTCGAAAGTACTGCTTTTCCTTTCAAATACATGGTAGTCGCGATAGTTTCGAATCTGATGGATTTTCTTGGTGAATTTCCAAACCTATTTACAACGTAGTGTTCGAGACCATCGCTGTGCACTGCAATCACCAGTTAAATAACAGAAGCAACGACCCATCTCCAGAAATATGCGAGTGTAACAGCGATATATTTCAGGGAAACTCGGGGATATGTTGTCGGAAGACAACGATGACCTGGTGACCCTGTGTTATCTAACCGGACAGAGCTAGCAGGACTTCTTTGCTCTTTCTTTCTTTTCCAAGCCTTCCCCCGTTGCGTCTGGGAATCGATAACGACGCTTCGATTTCGAGCTCGTTCACGCGATTCATTCTGCCTGACCGACCGAAGTCGCCGGGTTCCCTGTGTTACCGACCCCTTTTCGGGCTTATTGGCTGAATCCGTGCATAGGTTATCCCCCTTCCGGGACGGGGAAACCCTTCTCGGGCGAAATGCATTTTTAACCAGGCCACCGAGGCATTTGCGAGTCAGATCTTCGCCATAGGGATTACGTCTCGCTGGCCGACGATCCTTTTAAAACACGACGCACGTCTTACTGGAGCATGAAACGTGCACATGAAACTTCCTCTCTACCTTCTGTGCTTCTAGGGAATTTTTCGTCCGAGGAGATGCTTCTTTCTTCTTTGATAAGCGAGAGGATAATTCACGACGTTGGATAACTCAGCCAAATTCAGCCATATGCTTGACAAATGCTTCTTCAAACTTCCAAAGAATCGAAACCTGAAATGAAAAAAACTTCTGTTCCTCCATTTTCACTGGTACTAATAGAATCATTTTTGGAGACACCTTGTACGTGTAATCTCGTTTTTGAGACGCACGGTGAAAACTTTCGCTCGCGTCACATTTTATCTTTCGCATTTTCACACCGATATCGGATAAATGACATACCTCGCGGCGAGACACATCGTTGAAATCGCTCGATGTTTTCTCCATCTGGCCACCGTCTTGGATTGTTTTCGAGGCGTCGTTTTATCGGAGAAGAAGAACCGTGTGGCGACACACGATAAAATTAAATGTTCGGTGGCTTGACCCGGCTCGGCTCACATCGCGCCGCTATTACCCGGCTTGAAAGCATCGGGCCCCGGCTCGAGATGCACCGCGGCGCATACTGATTGCGTCACGCTCGAAAAATAGGCACGCGTCCCAATTTCGCGAGTGTTTTGACCGGACGTTTCTCGGTAAACGTCCGTCCCCCTGATTAACAGACGCGACGCTCGACGACAGGTTGCCCAGGCCTCTTTGATCCACCGCTGCCTGATTTTATCGGCCATTTGCTTCACTGGCAGCCGAAAATCTCGCTCTCCCCTTTGATAGTATGTACATTGTTTCGAAACGATTGCCAGCTAAAATTTTCGCGACGGTTCTCGATGGATTGACATTTCTATTCCTTTTGATATTCATACGTGCATCTTCTGTACACACGCTCTTCCATGTCCCCTGTTACTTTCACAATCATATTGTTACGTAACTATGCATCATTTTTATACACTTTCATTTTAATAAAATAATGAACGTGCACATGAAAGTTTATGCCTTTATCATAAGTAAAATAAGCGTTTCGTCCTAACCAAATTTAATGTGTAAATTACAAACCTGTTGAGGTATACTAATTTCTTATTTCTGTGAATAAATGAAGGATCTAGTGAGGTTTGATTTGCTTTTGGGATTGATCGTATTAAGACGAGAATACAAGTACAATTGTAAGCAATATGATTCATAGAGATTTTTAACATTAAAGAGATAGTTGTCCTTCGAGTCTAGAAATGTAGACTAAAATTTTAACTCTGAGAACGAGATTGCCAATACTTCTTCTTTATCACCACCCTCTTCTTCTCTTCCCATTGTTATCACCTTCTCCTCCTTCTCCTTTTTTTCGATCACCCTCTCCTCCTCTTCCTTTTTCTTTTTTCTTTTTTTTTTTTTATCACCCTAAGAAATAGATATCTATGAGTAACCGATATCGTAACAGGTTGTCTGATAAAATTATATGATCGTGTTTACTTTGCCTTCAGATAAAGCCTCTCTCTGTTCGACGACGAAATTGATTCAAAATTGCAACTTCATCCATCGAAACAGAAATAATCACGCGAAATCTGTGAATATGATTTAGAAATAATTAACAATCCATTCCTGTCTTTGTCTTAAAAAAGCAAAAATTCCTTAAAATTTAATTTCGTACCACTTCTTGGTATAGGAATTTGTTCAATGACGGATTGATCTGGCGAGTTAATCCGAGCGAGGCAACGCTGAGTAAATTCGCGATATCGGCTCTGGAGTACGCACCGTTAAACGGCGCAATAAAAGAAAGTTGGCTGGCTTAATTAATTGGCGGAATAGTTGAGTTTACATATTGTCGACAGATCTCCGGAGGATCGTTGCGTTGTTATCCGTTGTTATACGTTCGCTTTCGTGGCTTTCCACGCGCGGAAACTAGCCCGAGGTAAATGCAGTGTGACGATCAAATTGCTCCTTATCGGCTCGGTGCCACGGTGTTGCGGAAAATTACACGTAGCTGGCAATTCTTTCCATGAAATTTCGTTCAGACTATTCCTATCACTTTCTAGTACGATTTTTTTTTCTTCAACTTTTGAAAATCAAAATTGCATTTGATCGTCCTATGTGTTATTAAATTTTTTCCATTTTTGCGCCTTAATACCTCACGAATTTTTGGATATATTTTAATCAATTCAATCTTCAAATATATTTTAGAATTTAATCTTTTTAACAGAATTTTTGTTGTTGTATGATATCAAGATATATATTATATTATTTAATAATATTTAAATATCGTGACGAATAATCGGGTTAGAATGTTTAACTGAGTCTCGATTAAATTTACTTAACTTGCGTTTAATATTCCAGTTTAACATTATTTTATTGCAAACTGATCATCTGCGTTGATCGTCAAAGCTCGAAGATATCCGAATTTGTAATCTTATCTTTGATGAACAGATCGTAACGACGTATTATTTTAAAATTCAGTTGTTAAACTTCTTAAACTCTTCAGTTTACAATTTTTAGATTAAATCGTTACACACATAACGTAATTCTAAAATTCAATTTGTCAAATTTAGAATTTCAAAATTAATTCAACTTAATTAATTATTTCAATCTTAAAAATTGATCCAAGTTAAGCCTTCTGAGTCCGTTAGTTTTTTCATTTTTCGCCAAACTTTCATTTACAAAATACACGTAAGAGTCGAACAAAAAACACGATCCCAGGAAGCGTATAGACGAATGAGATTCACCGCTATATAAGTTCTCGCGATTCTTTGCGCAACGACAGAATTAAACTCGCTTGAATTCGCGAAAGTGCGTTTCGAAAATGTGATCGTGCGTCTCCGGCCGTTCAATTTCTCCGCGTTGCGACGCCTGTCGGATTTAAACGAGGCCAGTGTCTCTCAGCTGACTTTACTTTCAACAAACCGAACGATTACATTCCACTGTGGACCTGTGAAAATAGAGATGGCTGGGGTTCGATCGAAGTGAAATGTTACGTTGTTGAACAATTTAACCTGATAGTTGTCGTTGCGTCGGCTCTGGTGGCAATAAAGGTCAATAACTATTTGTCTGACAAGATACTTACGCAATTGATAGCTAGGTGCCAGGTATTTCTGGCTGACGCATTCATCGGTGGTCACTAGATCGAACCGAGTCGTCTCTCCTTTCTTCTCCAACGAAGTTTGTTGCTCCGTTTTATTGTTCGGTCGAGGAGGACAAAACGATCGAATAATTGTAGAAAGTGGCAAAGATTTTCAATTGGTAGATGTATATTTGAAAGAAAATTTGTAAAGATTTTTAGAAGGATTTTTAAGTATTTTTTAATATTGTTTAGTTAGAGAAATTCTTTTACATTTAATCGTAAAAAAGATACGAACATTAAAAATTTTCTAACTAATTTTACATTGATCGCGTAGGGAATTTCTATACAATACATCTACAATTTCTTCTACAAGTTAATCCCAATGCAGGAATTCGTCGAGTGCCATTCGTACGTGCATATTCAGCATGTTCGTTTTTCGTAACCTGTTATGCGTCTGCAATCTCTTTTGCAGAGATAGACACTGTCCACTCTAGTTTTTACTTTCGTCTATAAATATCTACGCGTTTCCTTCCCGTTAATATTCACGTTCTGACATCGTTTCATTAATCTGGCTCGCATTTTCTATGGGAGAAACGTGCAAAGATCTCTCGAGTCACGTTGACTCTTGAGCGAACCTAACCTCGATCGGCGCATAAATATCTATGCATCTCTAAAGTGATAGGGCTTTTTTTTTCATGCTCCTCTCGGTGGAATGAACATACGAGAATAACGATACTTTGATATGTGCTGGATCGCGCATTATTATCAAACGAGTGTTAAAAATGATCCGAGATGTGTTATGCAGCTGGCTGAAAGGGGTACATTATTCATTTGATCTCTGCAGCAGCCTTGACGTGACTCGAAGTCAGCTGATATGGCGATCAACTGATATTCGCTGGTGTTAGCACTGAAGCAGAATTTATATTCTTCGAACCGAGATTCACTGATAAGTGTGGAGAAAACGAGAAAAATCTGTTTCGTGTTTCTACGAACTTGGTTCACATTGGGAGAGCTAACCTTTATCTTGGAACTTGGGAAAATTGGCACTTCCTTTACTGTTGTTTTGTTAATGGGGTAAGAGATCTTTTGACGAATTCCCCCTAATATCTACGATCCATTTGATTTAGAAAAATTAACGGGAGCTCGTCAATTGCTAGGCCTTGATAAAATGGTCGAAGAACGGATAAAAAGGAGGTTAATAGTCCCATCGATAAGTCTGATTAATTCTTGAGAGTCATTGAAACGTTCGTTTATCTATTCTCTTTTTTTTCGGTTCAATAATGGCGGGAGTCATTGATCTTTGTTATGGTGATAAGATTCAGCGAGTATTCGAGACTAACACGAAAATTAGAGGTTAGATCAAAGAATCGAAGACGTTCAGATATCAAAAGATATGGTATGATCGCGTTAACCTCTAATGGGCCAACTCGATACACAAACAAACCTGATACATGATCCAATAAAAGAAAAAAAAAAGTTACCAGTTGCAATTGCGAGTGACAATCGTGATTTGAGACTCAATAATTGTAACGAAAATCTAAGGAAGACCACCTGCGCCGAGACACATGTGGCCACCGCAAGCAACAAGCAAAACCAGCCAAGGTGCGAGAGAGAAGGGAAAAAAAATTGCGCGATAAATCGGCGCTAAAGAATTCGACCTTGCTCGACGTCCAGCTAAATACTCGTTACCGAAGAACCCATATACCCGGATCGATTCCAGCGAACAAGGCTCTGGCCTCTCTCTGAACGCGTCCACCGGTGATCGATCCTCGGGAGCGTAGCCAGAAAACCGGATCCGATGGCGCGCGGCTCGCATAAAGAAGCGCGTAAACCGAACGATACTACTCGCGGCGACTTTGACGCTGTTGTGCCGGTCGGAGCCGCATCGTTGCCGGGCGTAACAACTGCAAAGCTGCAGCCAGTGCAATCGTCGGCAGACGGACTAACTTCGCATGACGTCACTTCAGCCAGCGTATCATTTTTAGCCCACATATACAACCGCGCTCCGCTCGAGGTTTACTCCCCGCCCTCGCCATCGTCGTCGTTCCACCACGTCGAGGTTGGCTCGCGTGTGGATGAAACTGGTGAATGCACACACGGCCGACGGACTCTGTGGACAGTGCGAGTGACCGAGTGCGCGGTATAGGCCAAACTCTTAGCTAGCGATAGGTTTGAGTTGAGTGGGCATCGCAACTGTTAGCAGCAGTTGGACTTGACAATTTGTAATCTATTAGCGTTAGTTAGTTGTTCGCGCACGTTTGGGATTATTAGGATTATTCAAGTCATTGGGAAGTGACGAATTCCCTTTGAAAGGGATTGCAGTCGTTGGACTACACGATTCGAAATTTTGCATAGACATTAGCGTCTAAACAACTAATTGCTAGTGTGTAATTGGTTCGAATAGAATGCACTTGGTTCACGTTGAATTTGTTCGGATACGAAATCTCGTTCGAGTACCTCGCTAGGTGCAAGTGTAGTCACGAGCTCATGTTTTTGTGGAAGATGGTAGGTTCCTCGATTGCATTGTGGGCGCTTTCCCTTGGCACTAGTGACCGAGCTGAAAACATTGTCCGCTCATACCGAGAGTTCTCGAGGACGATAGACTCGTGTGGTCTTTGCGTCAGTGACTCTCATCCCCATATCCTAAACTCGTCGCGATATTTTTTCCAAACTCTCAACATATTATTTTTCAATTATTTGCCTGTATACATATCTACATATATACAGTCTTTATTTTCGATAAAATAAGTATTGATTCACTTCACATTCACTTCGTGTTTACTTTATGTGCAAAAGACTGAAATAAGGATGAAATATGGAGAAACAGTGTCATAACCTCAACAGCGTTTCAAACGAGAAAGGGAACGATGCACGGTGGCACGTAGGATGAAAAAACCGCCTCGAAAGAACTCGTAAATGATGAGATAGGTAGGGTTTGAATGGGAGAATGAGCACGCTTTCAGCAACTGGGGTTGCAATGCTTTTCGCAGGGACAGTTTCAAGAAAAGCCACGGAATTCATAACCTCGACGAGTTAACGAATATTTAAAAAATGTTTATCATTGCATCGTATTGCATTTAATTTCATTCAATCAATGAATATTATAAACTATAGAAAGTTGCAAAATTTTTAGATTCTCAAAAACAGGTTGAATTATTGCCGAGTAATTAATGAATTTCTAAGATTCGTCAATCACCAAACTTACAGCTAGCGCGCAAGAAAATTTATTAACAATTGAATAAATTATACAGCGTGTGTTATCGATCCGTAGAACTTCCTTTATTTATAATATTGTTTCAATTGATCGTCAAGTTGACGCTGTCGTTTTCGTTTATTATATCGTCAGTTAAATGTGAAAGCTTGAGGGATATTTATGGGATATTTATTGGTTAAGTGGAACGAGTTGATGATGGGGAATTTTTGGCCACGTCGAAAGTAAATTGACAGAAGGTTGGACGTTTCTGGCAGCGTTGGCCGGAATGTGCATCGCTAGCATGGAGTAAGGACGAACCGAGGACAATAGCTGAGGATGCATTTTTGTCCCCGGAACGCTTGCTGAATCTCTAATACCAATGGGAGGAGTGGTTTCGTTCACCGAGATATCGCTATAAACTCGACTGCCACACTGCCGCTTCCTTGAAACCTGAGTTTCGAAAAACACCTGTAGCTGTTCAATAACCATCGACGATTATCACTATAACTTCATCAGCCGATTAATTTAGCAAATTATCCAATCTACATTAATTAAATGTATAGTCCATATAATCATATTTTGTTGCTACAGAATTTTTTATAGGTTATGATTTTCGTTTTTCCCGAGTATTTCTATCCGTCTGCCTTTTGAAATAGTCACGCGTACCAGTATATATCCTTGATCGTAGAAATTCCGTCAAGTTCGTGTATCGAACGTCGTGGCCGGGGATAAATCAATATTGGAAACAGTACGGGGGCTAGATGTTCGTCGGCACGAGCAGCCGAGTCACGAGTGTAAAGGTTAGGTTTGCTTATCTCACGCGAAAGCCGTATTAATAATCCACCGTGCTGTGGTTTTACGTTGCTTAAATGGAACAGCAGACTTCGCTTTTAGCCAGCC